TCCGTTATCCGCAAAAAACGAGAATCAAATGCAGAAGCACATGGAAAATTAGATGGAAGCAGCCCTAAACCCTCAAACCCAAACTACTTCGCCACACCTCGGACAGGCTAGAGGGTGTGGGGTTCCACCTAAGGGACATCGTAAGAAGTCTATAGGTTTGATTTGGAGGTACCCTAGACCCTATACTCTACACCCCAAATCCCTAAACCCTACACCCAAACCTTCGACCCTTAAACCTTAAATCCTGAATCCTTAAACCCTAAACCCTTATCTCCTGCAGTCACTATTACTTGGTGCCTCACCTTATACCCTAAACCCTAAACCTTAAACCCTAAACCTTAAACCCTGAACCTTAAACCCTAAACCCTAAACCCCAAGAGTTCGGCGCAGCCAGAGCCTTGAACTTGGACCCTTAAACCCTAAACCCTAAACCTTAACTTGCTGTACTTTCCGGCGGCATGTGAGCCATAGTCTAAACTCCTTAAAGGGGGTTATATAGGGGATTATAGGGGACTGTATAGGGTTCCTATTCTAGGGGATATGAAGGGGCATACTAGGAGTTGAGAGTATAGCTCATGTGCCTTTCTCCTAGCAGTAGGGGAGCCACCACAAGCTCATGGATGTTTCGTTTCCTCGTACTTGGTTATCCCTTAGTGATGTTTCCTGTATGAGCCCCCAAAACGCTCTCACAGTATTTAGTGCAACTTCAAAAGCGCTTCAGCCCAAAAGCCTTTTAAGCTCAAAGCTGCAAAGAGCGCCCGCTCAGGGATGGTTGTGCCTACGCGCTAAACTTAAGGGTGCTTGGAAACAACTTTTAATTTTTGCTTATTATAATCCTTAGGAACAGCAAATTCATAATTTTTACTAGGGATCCGAGTTCCCCATAGTAAGCACTCACCCCCATAATCCCACAAACCTGGCCCTAAGTTCAGGTGACAAAGCTCTAAGCCCTAAGCCCTGAACTCTCGAAGCCCAAGCCCCCAAGCTGCAGTAAACATGCTTGACATGGGCCTGCACTTGCTGCAACGTGGATAAGATCATAGGATTACCATGGCCACTGCAAATTTGCACCCCCGATATAAACAAGGCTAATCAGCCTTCATAGGCTTCAATACGCGCTAAAAGTCCCCAATGGTCCGTAATAAGCTCCAATCGGGCGTGGCCTATATACAGGGGTCCCACACTAGTTCCGCATCAAGAAGTTGACCATCGTCAAGAAGGCTGAAGCAAAGAAGAGCAAAGAAGAGAAGCCTAGAGTGAGCCCGGGTCTGCGGTCAGCGGTCAACATCGCTTTTTGCGGACAAGAGTCTTGTCATGATGTCTACCAAGAAGACCATAGTGAAAGACGTCCGTGAGTATCTTGTTCCCACGACGAAAATGAAGAAGTCTAGTCACAATTCTTGTCAGCTACAAGGACGACGCGCCTTATGGGTGGTAGCAAAACTATGGGAGGCTCAAGATTTCAGACGGCGACCGTTTGACAGTGTCTGTGGGCATCAAGGGTGGAGCCCAGCGCAAGACGACAGCGTCTTTGAAGAAGATGCAATGCTGAATGTCAAGGACAATGAGGAAACCAGAGCTTTGTGGGGAGAGGTTTTCAACGCATGCGTTGAGGTATCCCTCTCGAAGACACAAACGTTGACTGCTCAGAAGTTGCCTGCAGAACGCCCTTTTAGAAATGGATTTGAGAGTTCAAGCTTGACTTGGGGCAGTATGGCCCCACAGCACAATTTTGCCCGCGGGAGGCATGCAGTAGATCCTGTCGAAGCTTTTCTAGAGGACCCTAAAGCCTTTGACCCTAAATCCTGACTCCAACCCTGTTGAGGACTCCTTAACTGGTCCTACATGGCTTCTTCAAAAGTAAACATGGGTAATATGGGTATGCCACATACTATCTTCTGCATATAGGGCTGGTACGCCCCTTTTAAGAATCCCAGCCTTGATCCCTTTGGCCCAAGCCCTTACACAGGCTCAAATGTTTCATCGTTGGTTCAGGCATTACTTGATTAGGCCTTGGGGCCCCTGTGGGTTGAAGTGTTACAGTTTAAGAGTCGCCGATTATGAGGTTGGCATTGTAGTGGTGGGTAACCCCGGCAAATTTTCAATAAATGTTCAGGTCGAGAAGTGGCAGCCTCTTATTGTTGTAGGTTTCCAGGATTGTAGGATGGTGAGGGCGATGGCTTTTAGAGCGTAGGATTTTTTCTGGCTCATCAAGCCCCCTAACCCCCAAACCCTAAAGCGAAGTCCTTCATTCAACCTAACCCTAAGCCCGATGTGCGGAATTCAACATAATCCCTTATCATAGTCCATTTATCCCATCCCATGTAAACAACATGATACCACCGGCGCTTACAGGGAAGTGGGGAAGTGGATCCCCATAATTCTCCTTATACTTACTTAGCCAATAGAAGAACTTTAAACCTTTTGGGCTTCCTTTTTGGGTTACTATGATAAGGTCTACTTTTTTAGCCTTGGTTATTGGGGGATAGAGTATATAGTCCGCAATAATGTATTTCCTCCCCCCAAACCCAACAGCCCCAAACTGTGAGCCCCCAAAAACCTTAAAACCCCAAACCCAACCCTAATCTAAACCCTAAACCCTAATCCCTCAACCCTAAACCCTAAACCCTAAACCCTAAACCCTAAACCCTAAACCCTAAACGCTCCTAAAGCACCAGTAAGTGTAGGAAGGCTATGCGTCGGACAAGCGGCCCATGGTGGACTTACTCCTCGTTG